CGACTAATGACGGATCCAGAGTGGTAGGGGATGGGGGATGAGGCTATGCCCCCCGTCCCTTAGGGCGAGGGGGAATCGAAATGTCATGGTGAAGGGGCAGCAAAATCCTTATTTCGGGTCCACATGACCTTTATTTTCAAAGGCCCCACAATTTCATGGGCGCCACAAATAGCCACAAATATTTATTTCCGATAGGCACCGAAATTCGGGAACACAACACTCAGCCCCATACCTTCGTTCTCCGAGGGCACCAAATTTCAGGGAGACAGCATTGTTGAGCCTCCCACCTTGACGAAATACTGGATTGCACCAAAGTTTGGAGCACCATAACTTCCATTTCGCGGCACCATAAGAGAAAACACCCGTTAAAGAGACCCTTTATCTAACTGGGCAATTTGAATTCCCCAAAGCCTTGGTTTCAAACAGCGTTTAAAGTCCATGGACACCAAAATATTAATGCCTTTCACTGTTGCAAAATTCCGGATCTGCCTGTTCTATGAAGGAGCACCAAAAAACTTCATTGGCGGGCATCATAGCTTTTATATTCCAGAGGCGCGCATTTCCTGGAGCACCACAGAGCAGGGGCGGGTCCAGAAGGGGGGGGGGGGCATGTGGATCATGCCCGCTTTCCCTTGGGCTTGGTGAGGTTTTGAAGCCCTAAGAGGCACCAAATCTCGTCGCAAAGGGGTAACAATAGCTTGATTTCGGAACCACTTAACCTGTATTTTTATGAGACACCAAATTGCAGGAGCACCACGACGTTCGTGCCGTGTCACTTGACGGAACCCCTGCGTCGGCCCACTCGGCGAGAGAGCGCCAAACCTTCATTTCAGGACAACATAACCTTTATTTTCAATAAGCACCCAATTCCAGAGAGTACTGGAAAGGGTCCCGACCCTTTATTCTGAAAGAGCCATGAATTCAAGGGGCATAACTACGTTGACCTTTTCGCCTCGATAAAATCCTGGATCGAACCCTTGGGCAAGAAGGCCAAAACCTTTCCTTGCGGGGCGGCATCATCCTTATTTTTAAAGGGCACCAAATCAAAGCGAGCCATTCACGAAGCCCAAAACCATAATTTTAAAAAGGCACCAAAATCCACCGCAATCGGTGTGCCTTTTCCTCTGGAAAAAATATGGGTCGGATCGTTCAGGGAAGGGGCACCCTGTCCAGGGAAACAGGAACCAACAGTTTCCGTTGTCACTGGGGCTTCACGACGCACCTAGCTCCTGAGGCTATATGGCGTCGCCTGCCTCTCACCCTGGCAGGAAGGGCGGGCACCACGGGGAATCGAACCCCGTATCTCTGGTTTCACAGACGCGCAGTAGCTAACGCAGAAGCGCTAACCACTACACTATTGCCAAGCTAACATTCTAACGAGCAACCTCCTTTTCGGGTCATCATAACATTTATTTTCCAGAGACAGATAATCCCAAGAGCCATTACAATGTCCGTGCCTTTCCATTACCAAAATCCTACTTCGGCTCATTCGGCCAAGAGCCACCTTTCTTTCGGACCACCACTGCATTTATTTCCTTGAGGCACAAAATGCAAGTGGGCCATTGAAAGAACGATTGAAGGTGGTCCAAAACTTCCCTTTCAAGGGGCACTAAAATACAGGGGTACCACAATATCCTTGTCTTGCACTCTGACGGAATCCTGGTTCGGCACCTGCGGTGAAGAGGCGTCAAGCACCTTGTTTCCGGGGCATCATAACACTTGTTTTTTATTAGTCACCAAAATTCAATTCGTACACCACAAACGGCGAAAACATTCATTTTAAAGCGATGCAAAATTCCAGGGGCACGTCATATGGCCCCCAAAGCTTTATTTTCACGGGAAACTGAATTAAGCACGACTTCCCCCCCCCCCACCATACCCTACCTCTTAGGTTCTGAAGTTCCCATGGGTCCCGAGAGTCTTCTTTGGTCTCAAAGAGCCGAGGATCAAAGGCCCGATTATGAGTCCGAAGGGCAGGCCAGAGGTCGTATAGAGGGATCACAGCCTGAAGGCCGAACCCTAAAATGTCAGATGAGCTCTAGGTCTGATCGGAGGCTCCGTGCGACTGTGTCTGTTTGAGACAGCTGACTGAGAACAACAATATATCGAAAGTCCTTTCCGTGCTATTTTGGAGCCTAGGGGTTATTCGCGAGCAGGGACAAGGCCGGGGTATCTAAATGCCAATCAGAAGACATCCTACGTTCGTCGGGACGCCTGAAACAATGAAGAACACGCAGTCCTGGTCAGTGACCACAGTCCCTAACAGGAGACCATGTGTCGGCAGTGAGCCCCAGGTCGGCCAGAAGCACATTCAGGGGTGTCAATTTTTGTAAATTATTAGGGGAGGGGCCGAACCAAGGGCCCGACATCCTACTCCCCCATCTTCCTTTCACCGGATTTAGCCCACTTTATTTTGATTAAACGCAATATATGTTTCTAATATGTGTATAATTTATAGAAGCCTTTAACTTAAGCAGCATGGCAGCCATGCAGGGTTGGATCCAGGGAGCAGACACTGAACGCATGCGTCTCTTCTGATCTGATCTCTTCTGAAGGCGCTTCTTTAGAGGCCACCTTAGGTCGCCGATGGCACTCTTGCATGACAGTCATGGGAGGCTGCACGCAGTTTGGTTGTGGGAGACGCGTACGGGACGGGGTTAGCCATGAAGGACTTAGGTCATCCCCATATTCCAGAGCTTTTCACTTTAACCTCAAAAACAATTGGGTGTCTTATGGCGCTAGGTATGTAAAGTTTATTGCACTGTTTATCCGCTCAGTTGTTACGATTTTTGTCTTGTGGAGGGAGTAGCCAAGACGTTTTGTTGTGAGAGTGGTACGAGACCCCCTACGCAGGAAGATAAAAAAGATAGTCTTTGTGCTAGGATCATTTAACCCAGGTTTTTGGTAGTATTCCAGCAAAAAGCATAGGGGAGCCAAGCCAACATTAGGGGGCCCGGCCAACATTGGGAGGGAGCACAATCCAACATTCGGGGGGGGGGGGGCAGGGCTTTCACAAAAGAATACAAATCGACACCCCTGAACACATTTGCTGAACAGGGACGATGACGGAACGCCGCATGTCAAAGGTCCTATTGCGCTGATCTGGACCTTCCTGACAATGAAAGGATTCATCAGAAATGACAAAGAAAGGTTCACATGTACAATGAGTCAGTGGAGAGGCCTGTGCCAGTCAGGGACACCAGTACCGGACGGGGATCCTCCGCACTGTTGCATCCAGGGGCCGATAAGGCGAATTGGTGTCTCGGTATTAATTATTAGACCTTCTGTGCCAGTAAACAGTTTGTTTGCGTCAGCGAGGGCCCCTGCGCCGATCCGCTGCCGGATGCCTCAGTCAGAGGGCCAGCCGCATTGAGGAGAGGACCGGTTGTGATGCTCCCTCTGAGGTTCTCCGTGCGGTCCTGGGGGCTATCACTAGACTGTGAGGCGCTAGGGACCCAGGATAGGGCGCAATGCCCTTCAGTTGCTGGCCGAAACATTTTACCAATGCAGCTCAGTTGGTTGACCAGTTGATTCTGTGAACGGAATTGGCAGTTGCAGCATTACGAGCAAGAGAGATTACGCCATTGCGCCTTGCATTCGTGATGCTCTGGGTGGTAATCTGTGCCGACTGCCAATCTGCAAAATGGCACCAGTGAAACATTCGGCCCGGGACACCTTTTACTCGCATACCAATTGATGCCATAAAGCGTTGGGAAGTACTGGTTGACCGCTGCCAGGTGTCGCTGCAAGGTTCCGTATCCTACAATGGTGTAACTGCGACGTTTTTGCTCCGACATCTCACAGAGCACCTCACGGGCGGGCACCAAGGGATCACATACAGACTGACCACATTACTCTCCTCATGCGCCAAGCACAAAACGCTGGAATTTTATATTGTGTACACGAAACAAGAAAACAACACTCCGGATGCATTACTTATTCATGACCGCAAACGACTTCTAATTAGACAAATGAGTCAAACTGTTCAATGATTTCTTTGGGACAGCATCACAAATAAATCACTTAGACAAGGAACAAGACACTGATGAATGGCGCGGGTACTGGGTGATTAACGTTAGCATTAGCATGCTCGGCCCCCAGGGTTCTAGCAATGTTTTACGGCGCCGATTGTGTATGGAACAGCATTACCATGCAATGCTTAATTGAACAGGCGTGCACTTTTAACAGGACAACGAAAAAGGTGAAAACAAGTATGTTTCGTTGCAGCATATATGTTATATGGATATGGATATGTTATATACACATAGATGTCTGTACACATATTTTCGGAGGTGCATGTGGAAACATACCCTATGACGTATCAGAGCTTAAGTTTTATGTTTATGACGTTTGGGAGCCTACGCAGCTTTCAACATGCGTATTTTACCAGCTTCCTACCAACACGCTGCCATTCGCTGCCGTTAGTCATTGTACCTACACGGAGCAGCCCAATCTCATTCCGCAAATGTTGGGCACTGCCTAGTTTTTGCCCACGCATCATCGCAGACTCCACCATATTTTTTTTCCAGGGAGGCGAAAGGGACAAAAGAAAGAAAATACTGGGGTTGCGGTCAAGATATTATTGACACTGTACTAATGACAACAGTGTCAGTGTACGGTGTAATTGCATATACCGCAGTAAAGTGGGAGATCGTATTTAGCCACGTCAGTTTTGCAAACGTGATTGGCGACAGTTTTGATCGATGACCCGCAGAGACACGTGACACCTCCAGCCAGCCGGCGCGCTCGGGGCGCGGCGCACCGCAAGATACCTCCAGCGGGCTTGTGCGTTCGGGGCGCGTCGCACCGGTGTTAGCACCTCCAGCGGGCCGGCGCGTTCGGGGCGCGTCGCACCGGTGTTAGCACCTCCAGCGGGCCGGCGCGTTCGGAGCGCGTGACACTGGTGTTGGCACCTCCAGCGGGTCGGCGCGTTCGGGGCGCGGCGCACCTGTGTTGGCACCTCCAGCGGGCCGGCGCGTTCGGGGCGCGACGCACCGGTGTTAGCCGCGCTGCTCGGCGCGCTTCCGCTGCCGCGACACGCAGCTGGCCACCACGCAGTCCAGGATCTCGACGAAGGTCAGCAGCGAGCCACCGAGCATCAGGCCGAGGTTGCCGCCCACCTCGGCGATGAACGTGTCGAACGAGTACGCCTCGCGCTCGGTGACGCTCTCCTCGACGTCGGAGATCCACAAGTCGACGCCGCCAACGGTGATGGCGCGAGCGCCCGGGTACTTCAGGTACACGCTCGTCTCCTCCACGTGCCACTTCTCGTGCTGCTCAATGTGGTACCGGTCCTGCCGGCAGCTGGCGGTGCAGGGGCAGCTGTCCGTCCAGAGGATGAAGTCCCGCTCCTTGACGCCGCGTTCCGAACCGCCCGCCGATCGTTCCAGTTCCTTCAACGAACGACACGAGCGTGTACCGGGGCTGTAGCCGTTAGCCGCGATCCATGGCACAGAGCAAGGCTTGCCGCCACCGCTCGTCTCCTTGACCACCTTCGCGGTCACCATTTTCATCAAGCAGCTGCCGAGGCAACGCACCTGGCCGGTATACGAGTTGTCCGACGCGTTGCAGCCACGCCCCGAGCCGTGGGGTAGCGCTTGGGTGATCTTGCGGAAGATTTTCATCTGGTGCATGCGGTTGCCGTAGACTTTGAGTGTTACCGCCTGGCCGGAGAAGAAGGCGAAGTCGTTGTAGTGGACCTCCTGCGTGTGCAGGAACACCGTCCAGCCGCTGTGCTCGAAGTCGTCGAGCTGTTCGCGCTCGCGCATCACCAGGGTGATCTGGCCGCCCACCATCCGCCTGCCGACGGTGACGTTGGTGTTGAGGGTGGTGCAGAGGCCGTTGAGTAGCGTGTGCGACGTGCGGAAGGTGCCGATCTCACTGCACGGCCGTCCGTCTACCGTACAGATGAGCACCACATCCGCCCAGCTGTAGGCGGCTGCGCGGTAGAAGTTGTCGAGTCCGTCGAAGGTCGACCAGTTGAGCGTTCTGTAGCCCTGCTGGCGCCATGCCTGCCAGTTGAAGCCGTCCAGCTGGTGGCGCAGCACCACGCTCTTCTTGAAGACGTTGCCGTGGCAGACGGTGATGGCCGGCACGGGGATGTCGACCAGATTGCGGCGGGACCAGGCGCGCACGGTGCCGCCGGCCGACAGCCGGTCCACGCACACCTTCAGCTGCAGGCACAGCCACACCATCAGGCAGATGATGATCACCAGCCAGATGGCCCGACGTAGCCAGAACGCCCCTGTGGCAGACAGGGATGGTCAGCGCCAGGCGGCTCCACGGTCACCGCACGGAGCGGCGCCCACGGCTGGTCGACGCCGGGCGGAGCGGCCGGTTAGTGCCAGCAGCAGGCTCAATGCGAGGTCCAGCTTCATCACCAGGTTAAGCATTATCATGACCAGTGGGTAAACGTCCCCTCGCCAATCATTGTTGTACGTTATCAAGTTCACAAAGGGCAAGTGTTGGGACGGGCTCCATGGGCTACGTCATTTGGTGTTCCCGTGGCACCGTTCTTGTTGTCATCGTCGTGAAGTCAACCTCAGCTCATTCCAGGTGACTGGTGGGCACACTTTCAGGGGGGATGCTCCGCTCGGTCAAAGGGCGGAGCAAACAGCGGCCGGAGAGCTAATTGGGCGACATGTTGCGTGCGTACTAACACACCGGGCGAGGACGATAGTCCTAACAATTATCTTATCCGTGAACACGTGCATATTTTTTGCGTCAACAGCCATCGTCATTAGCTTGCTCACCTCCAGGATGAGCAAGAGTGCATGCATTGGGACTCTTGGGAATAACCGTATGGGTGAGCGACAACTTGACTCGCTGCCACGAGGGTATGGGCTCTCAGCTGTCTTCTCGGCGATCGGGGTGATAAAACAGCGACGCTGGTTGGGATTTGTGTGGATCCTTGGGCAGGGGGGTCTCGTTTTCTTTAGTAGCAACACTTACCAGCTTGCCAGTAAGTAGTGTTTCAAACTTACTACTGTTTGGGGCGTTTTATTCGTGGTGACGCGCAGCTGACTAAGAGATGCAATTTTAGCAGGCTTATCAAGTATATCAGGTCATAATCGGGAGAGAGATGAGTATCGGATTTTAATTATGCAGTGGGTTGAGTGCAAAGCGTAAATAACGACATGTGAATTACAAGATGTTTCCATCTGTTATCGCGCTTACTTTACAAACCATAGCATCGCAGCTTACCGTGAACTATCAGTTGTTCTGTAACTGTTGCATCTATGTGGTCTCTGTAGAATTCTTAGGCCTGTCTAATGACCAAACATAAGGTGTAAGCTTTTTGCTTTGTCAAAGCTGTGGAAGTATGACGAGCTATGACGTAGCTATGAGCATCAATACCACGTTCATACAACAGCTGCGATGGCACGTAACTTGTACGAACACAGTCGAAATGCTTGCAAAGCTTACACTCCTAAGGTAGAACAATTTGTCAAAAATGGCCTCAAACCGTGAAAATTTGAAGGGAAAATAATTTAATTCAAATCAGAGATCCACCGAAAAATGTTCATTGCGAATACGCCACCAAAATACGTCCTCGTCTGCCAACACCGCCACAAATCGGTCGAATAACTGAAAAATGAGTGCCTCTCTTTGGCTTCTAATCACAACGAAATGATTCGCAACTTACCGACGTTCTGAACCTAGATGCGTACTTCTGTATCTCAGCCAGAGCAATACTGACGGAGTTATGACCCCAGATATTTTGGGAAGTCCCGCGGTAAACGATTAATATTAGTTGTTTATCTTTACAGCACCAATCTGAGCGGATCGGTAGCTGCATCTGCTACGTGTGTAGCGGGATTTTTTTACGGGACATTGCGTTATATAATGTATAAATCGCACGACGCATACCGTGTCCAAATACCAACTGATGAAAACTGCTGATGCATCCCCTGAGGCCATTCCATGACACTTGATGACGTTGCATTTACGATTTTCATGTACAACGGTTACGTCGTCATACTGTAAAAGGCTGATGAAACACGAGGAGTACCTACTTCGCGTGAACGAGTCAAGCGTATCATTTCTTTGGGATCACTGCACAAGTTCACACCGATCTATGCAGGTGGTGCTGAGCCCGATATGTAATATTCCCGCCGGATGGAGTCCTGAGTGGCTGAGAACACGGTCAAAGGTCCGTGACGTCACACAGTGAAAAATTAAAATCTGTAATTTAAATGTAAAAACGCCGTGGAAGGACCTGAGTTACGCAGGTCAATATTCCATGTGCATGTGTGTAGAGAGTGCTGAGCTGTATTATGTCCAATCAGTATCAGGGCGGTTTACTCTAAATATGTGCGACAAATCCCGGTCTTCCGTCACGTGCCTTGCGCAAAGCGTCGCCCTCTATCTTTCATTTGCCCTTCCGGCTGCATATGTGTTGGCGTCTTGGGGTGAGCGCGACACTTGTTTTGCATATCGCTGAGAACTCAAGCGATCGCTGGGAACCGCTAATCGTCCAATATACGTAGCCCCTGGTGTTGATGGAGCACTAACCCAATGTTCTCAGTGAATATCGCCCATTGATATCATCAATTCATCATTCTCAGTGGGTACCATCGCTGTTGTAGGAAGAAACCCTTAAGAAAAAATCAGTTACAACAAACACAGAATGAAAAAGTTCACTGCAAAAACAGAATATCGGCCCTGCTTTTGATGCAACGAAGAGCCGAGCAATATACATTGCAATGTCATCGTGCCCACAAAGTTTCTGCAAGGTCATGTAAAGCTGCAGAGCCGTGATCTGGGAAGAGGGTCCTCCGCCTCCGTGGCTTGTGAAAGCTGCTGGGCTCGTGACTTAGTGTCGCTGAGCACGAGTCCCAGAGCGGGATTTTTTTTCACCCGAAAGACAGGAATAGTTAGTGTGGCAAATGGCCACATGAACCAAGAGCGAACGAGCAGCAGCATTGTGTGACATTTAAAGTTATCTGCAGTCCTGCCTGGCAAATGAGCGAAGGCGAAATCACATGTCGAATTAGACAGGCTAACTTGGATAGGTGGTTCAGGGCAGGCAAGACAAGCTTAGTCTTAGTCGGTTACTCCGGATTCAAGGCCATCCACGAGAACATTCGGAATAATAATAAAAATCATGAGTCAAAAACACGGATTTTCTCAACTTAAAAATGATTCTCCGCACGCAAAATAAGCGATACTTTTTTCTATCACATTGTGGCAGTCTCAGTACATCGCGAGATATCGAAAATGACAACTCGGAGCCATTTAGATGGCGAATTGAGCGTCTGCACAAAAGGCATGTTTAACATGAAATATAACCCCAATGACATTTGAATAAATAGTTTAAGTGACTATATTTTGGTACAAATGTGGTGTAATGCGCAACGGACAGGTAAGACTTCAATCTTGGCATTTTTGTCAAAAGGATGCTATGAAAATGACACATCGCTATCCATGCTATCAAGATGACAACTCAGGTCCACTAGATGGGGAGTACAGCGTCCACATAGTCAGCTATGCATACCATTAACTTTCATGCCAATGCTATTCAAAGAAACAACTATGTCACCAAATTTTGATAAAAGTGTGGCATAGTACACAGAAGTAGGAAGGCTTCAAACTTGGAATTCCTGTCAAAGGGATGCTAAGGTCTTTCCATCAAACTTGGGGTATTGGACGTGTTTTTGCTGTTATATTCTCCTGTTTGCTCTAATCATATCGTCTGAAAAATCGTGGATTTGAACTGTTTTCATGCCATGCTAGGTCACAAGATCTAAAGCTGCCAGGTTCACCGTGAAAAACATCAATTATTCCCACTTTTATCGGCTTGTTGCTGACTAGATATCAAAGTTCGTTTGGCATTTTCAATTTGCACGCAGTACATAGCACGGATATGACTTTGCAAGCCCCCCCCCCCCCCCCCAAACCCAAGGATGTATTGGGCTCCCAATGTGTTATTAAGGACTTTCTCGTGATGGCGATCCCACAATAGTCGCATGATCCTAAGACGTCTACTGGAATGTTGTGTCATTTTCATCAAAAATACCCCTTGTACAAATTCATGCATGTCGTTTCAGTTCGATTACAGGCATGATATATTGCTCATCCCGCTAACACACTGGAGATTATGCTTTATCATTTCCCCTGAATAGTGCTATCACTATTTTTAGAACTATCTATCATATTTTTATCACTAGCTATCACTATTTTTAGAACTACTAAAACCGGCCATTTCAAAGTCACTTCACAGCCGCGTATGTCAAAGCACGTAGGCTACAAACACCCTGGCACTGTCGCTTTGAGATGGATCTCAACCACGTTTTGATAACTTTCATGAATTTTGGCTGATGGTGGTTTTGACCTTAGATTTTCATTACGATGGTTTTCCATTCCAGCGGTATTTTAGGAACCCCTTGATCTACGTAGGGGATTTCGCGGCCTTCTCTGCTAGCCTATTAGGCCCCCTACCGCCGGGGGCGTCGGAGCCGCCACAGCAGTGTCATGACCTGCGCCATGAATAACTGACAGGGTACTCGCTAATTGTCTTGTCATACTAATCAGAACCTTGAAATATAGAGGATGTGCGTCTCTGATGGGGGTGCAGACTAATGGCGACGCATGCGGCACAGCGCTCACGCATGTGCACGGTACTCTCGTACCCACAATAAACATACATCGAGCTGTGGAATGTCCCGTGATGGCGCTGGAGCGAAGCGTACATCATGTCGTTAACCGGCATTATGCATGATGTGCATGGTGCCTTCATGGTTTTCAGTTCAGTTGGAAAGCTTCCCCTTAACAGAAGCCGTAATATGCGTCGGAAATGTGCAGAAACCAGCAAATTTGTTTAATTCGTATCTTTTGCATCCATGAATTTGTTTGAATGGAACTTTTTTACCTAGCAACTGGGTAGATATCGTGTGGTAAAAGATCGTATGCCGTCACAACGTCACCGAAATAACCTGACCGAAGGATAATGTGTGGATGATTGCGCTCAAAATATCGTATGAGATATAGATAACATGGATAGATCATATGTGAAGGATGATGTGTGATGGAAATGGTGCAGGACAAGGAAAGCAATGAAAAAGATCGCACGCGATAATTTTGTCATGGCTTAAAGACCGCACCGAACACTGTGTGAGATGAACTTAGTATGACAAAATATCATATAGCATAAAGGTAATAATGGCTTGAGTTCGAACTGAACACAGATTGCTTGAGGTGAAGACAGTCAGCAGTATGGCAGAAGCTGTTTCCCATGTACGACTTCGCCAGACAGCACCAATTGCACCCATTTCCGGATCGCCAGCTGACGTGACTCACAGGCTGTCGGTTCGGTCGGCGTCAGCTGGAAACGCACCTGGAGCCAAACATTCGATTCTGTGCACACATTTCAGCTCCAGAGACATCTGATCAGCTCCGGAGCCTTGCTGGAAGTGACGGCAATGCGTGCAGGCTTTTAACACGCGCTCTGGTGGGTCCAATTGCCCCCCCCCCCGAAGGTTTTTCGAGAATGGTTTCCGAACGGTGCGGCGTAGCCGCGCAAAATTTTACATGGCTATTCACAATTGAATAGCGAATCGCTTGGTATAAAAAATTCAGATGTACCTTGTAAGGTCACTGATCTATGGCAGGTCAAAGTCAGGCGATGGTTTCACCAAAGGCAATTTCTAGGGAATCGTTCAATCTGATGCAACAACGGAGCGTTTGACGAAGCTAAACATCTTTGAAATGCTTAATTAGGCAGCACAAACATTGAATGAGCAAAGTAAGTTGACCTAAGGTCAGGTATAAAGGCCAGACCAAGGTCAAAACCAACCTGTTTTATTGTTCTAGGGCTTGCTGTGTGGGGTATTTCCCGGTGCTCATTTTAAATTCATTGACAGGAGGAACCGCATGATGCATCTTCAATTGACTTTTTAGAGGTCATAATTGGTAATTGACCTAAGATGACCCAGGTCCACATTCGTTAAAGAGCATACTGCCAAGCATAATCTTCGCCCCTTATTCAAATGCAAAACTCAGGACAGTCTTGTATTATTTTGGTCACCATGGCCTTCAAAAGGTCAAGCAGGGTCACTGACCTAAACTGAGCTTGTGACCTTTTGCTAAAAAATAGTTGTTAAGATTCTGGGGTCACTTTGGAGACCAACCTGAAATTTGACTTTGCTTGACCTTTTTTGACCCGAAGGTCATGACCTAGTGACCTCAAACTTTGACCTAAGTGAGTTCACGTACAGGTCAACACACCCTGCAAATTTCGTGTCTCCAGCTTTCTTAGTTTCCGAGATCTTATGGGGGGGGTGGGGGGGTCAAATTGACCCTCCACCGGAGCGAAGGGTATCTAGCCGGCCACCCGGGCGCGTGTTAAAGATAAGATTTCCCGACAGAACACTACGAGGCACAGAATAAGGGGCTTCACCATGTGGACGAATGCAGAATTTCCGCATGATGCCCGCAAATCCAGCGATTTCCAGTTCATAACTTCAGGTTCCTGTATCCGAAATCCAAGAACTCTCTACAATCAGGGTCTAGGGTCCATAACATTTGCACATTTTAATGAAATCAGTGTCATACATACCTCTCAGATTTCGACTGAAATGTGCTGAGCTGAAGAGGGAGCAGGGGAGGACGGCTACCACACAACTGAATATTTTACGACAGTTTGTGCTCCTACTACCTTTTCCGAAGGTTTGCAAACACGCTGGTTTTTTGCTCACTGCAGACCCGGGTGCGTTTGTTGCTCTGGTCATTTAAACTATGCTGCGACACAGTTTTTCGACATGCGGTTACGACTTCCATTGATGAGGATATTCACGTTGCTCGATATTGAGCTTTCATTTATGTATACAGCCATTTGCTAAAATCCTTTGCAATGCGATCTGCCTCGTTGACACACCTTGAACTAGAGCATGCGGAATGTCATTGTCATTTCTGCAAGTTCCTCGAGTGTGCGTTTCGTCGGAACACGAGGCCTTCAATACGAGGAATGCGATGAAAACCGAACATTTAAAGGCGTTTTATGTGTGAATGCATGTTTGAAGTGCAAAAATGGTTTTGAAATCAATCATGTCATCGAGCTGCCCGAAATGCTGAGCAATGGATGGATTTTGGCAATGTTCCATATCAACACAGAGAAAACGACAAAGGGGCGATGCGAGGCCTCCAACGAACGACCAAGAAGTTTATATACGCTGTCCAGACAACCGACTCCCAAAATATTAGAGCATGCATACATACATACACACACACACACACACACACACACACACACACACACACACACACACACACACACACACACACACACACACACACACACACACACACACACACACACACACACACACACACACACACACACACACACACACACACACACACACACACACACACACACACACACACACACACACACACACACACACACCACACACACACACACACACACACACACACACACACACACACACACACACACACACACACACATGTGTATCATTGTACATATGTATACATGCATATATATATATATATATATATATATATATATATATATATATATATATGTATATAGGGATTATATTGGTGAAAGTGGCAGAACGCCATGTTTTGTACAGACACTGCGAAGTTCACGGCGTATTTAGCTTTAAGGAGCTTTTTCTAGTTACGCTCGGCTGAACCTTATGTTCCGTTCAACTTTGTTCGGCAGGTTAAGCATGATAGTACCAAAATTAGTTGGTATATGTTTTATCCTAATGCTTCGAAGATATATAAGTCCATCTCCAGAAGACGTATGAAGATGACTATCAGCACATGGCACAAAAATGTGGTGCAAGGTTTTTGGCTTCACCTCGTGGGATATATATATATATATATATATATATATATATATATATATATATATTTGTATACATAAAACCACATACACATATATATCTATATATATATATATATATATATATATATATATATATATATCCAATAAGGTTTTTTGCGAACTTTTGTACACTGACTTTTGTCTGTTTCCTTTTCCAAGGCAGGCCTATCCATGAAGACTCCTTTAGCGGCAACGTTTCTCTCGCAGGGAGGGGGGGGGGGGGGGGGGGCGCAGCGCAGCGGAACAGCAGATGCTGATAGGGTGGAGTCACCGCCCGGCCCGCCGCTCGGTCAGCACCATCGCCCTGCGCCCCCCACTTACCGGGGTTACAGACGAGTGACATGCCAGTGATGCTGAGCTGGTCGACGGGGCGGCCCTCCGGCGGGACAGGCTCGTAGTCGACCCAGCCGCTCTGGCTGACGTTACGCAACATCTTCAGCTCCTTGGTGGACAGCCGGTTCAACGCGTCCACGTCCTCATGGCGCAGCTCGCCCGCCAGCGAGATGGTCGGCACGTCAGGCGCCGCGTGCACCCTCCTGCCGGACTTCATGGCCGCTCGCGGGCGTCGGCCGCTCGTGTGAAGTGGTGAGCACGCCTGCCCCGCGCCGGGTCCCAGCCGTGCAAGTCAGTCGCGGCTGCGCACGCGCCACACCCCAGGTGATGGGATGGCGCGGCCGGCTAGCACCACTTCAATCGAAACGGGTATGCGGTACGTCGTTATATCGTGGGTCGCTGCAAGTGCTTTATTTGCTGTTTCTGGGTGTTGAAATGACGTCCAGCAACATGGAATGCTCCCTAGACCCGCCGATATAAATAGGACTCGAAGTGAGAGCCGCATTACCCCCACTTACATTGCTATTTTTGCAGTGCGCCGCGTGCATTCGGTCGTATACGTCACATCCCAATAGTACGGGCGGCCAAGCGATTTGAAGAGACCAGGAACAGCGAGTTTAGTTTTTCACGCATGTAATTGAATGTTCCCGGTCGAGTTACAGTATTCGCTCCTGTGTCAAACCTTTTGCATGTCATAACGAAACCGTGCCAAATGCATGTTAAATGCCGTGATTATTTATAGGGAATGTTTATATGAAGATGTTCAAATCTGAAGATACTGAAGCAAACATCATATATGATGAAACAAGCTCATCTCTAACTATTGGTATACTTCGAAGTGGAAAAGACTGCTCAAGACAGCACAATCCTCTGTTTAGTAATTATGCTCCTCAATGCGTCACCGTTTCATTATGTCAGCATACCTTACACATTGATTAAGAGCCAATTGACGGCAGTTATATCTTAACATTGCGCTCACGAACACCAGCTATGGGCGCCGTCATACGGATTTTTTTGGCCTGATCGCCGCATGGTTTATGAAATAACAGAATTTGAATGACGTTATTATGACTTCATAAGTGTCAAGGTGACTTTGGAATAGTCTGTCCGACATAACTTCCTCATTTTTGAGGGCGTGTGGCCCAGAAACTAGAGGGGCTTGGGCCTTACGGAGAGCAGGATTGTGAACAGCACCGAAGGGTGTTGAAGATGGCCATTTATTTTTAAAACCCAAAGGGGAATACTCCCCTCGAGCTGCGGATGTTCATATTTCTAAATGTGACGCTCATGCATCAATGGGGACTCCCGCCGCGGCTCGTGACACCAGCACCGCGCTTGCGCAATGTAAACATTTCGCATTTCGCAACATGATAATTTCACATTCCTCAAGATAATCATCCCGTATTTTACAGTAATTTCACCGCTGCGGTGAGACACAAGTCCACTGATGTATAAGCGTCACATTTAGGCCTATGGGCATCTGCAGCTTTAGAAAATCGCAGCGTGCTGTATTCTGAATCCCGCTTGTCTCCTACAGGGCATTGTCTCCAGATGCGTAAGCAAACTTACTATCGTGAGTCGCGACGACACGGCGAAGGCCGCGTCGCGCCACATGGCACCGGACCAGGCAAGATGGTCACTAACATTCAGGGCATCAGTTGCCCTGCCAAACACCGTAGATGAAGAACGTCGCACGGTATCCCATGTCATTAAAATTAGGGATTTTTTTTGTCTCGGAAGGTTTTGTTGTGATACAATATTGCTTTAATACCAACTTGAGCGTCAGTGAAGACAAAATAACGAAACGGCACCCCAAACGTGCCACGTCATTTAGCAATTTATGCATTTGGTGCCCGCGTTGTCCAGGAAAATAAATGCATATTGCTTTGTTTGTGACGCATGTCACTTAGTACCATATTGAGTGAGTTAACTGAGTGAAAACGATCGGTGCATAGCATGCATGTGCACCGTCATCACATTTGACTTTCAAACAGCCTTGATTATGGAGCTGAAGCGTAATATCGCTGAGCACGCCATGTCGGGTCCGCTTACCGTCACTCCCGCTGTCGGGCTCGCCGTTGGGCCCATTGCCCAGGTACAGGCTGCCGTGAGCCGTCAGCCTGTCTGCAACACACAAGGTGCATAGTACACAGGCGACGAAAAATTGATGGCAGCGATGGGGTGGTCCGGGGAAGTTTTTTGTTTGTTTGTTTTTCTCGTCGCTCGCCCACCCACGCCTCGCGTGATTTCTTTTCTCTTTTTTTTTACTCACCCACCCGCACCTGCCCACGTGGTTACCAAGATCACACAATGACTTAAACGCTGGTCTGAGTGGTGTCTGGGCATGTGTTGTCATGTGTCCAAAGTAAGCAGTGAGATTAGAGTTACTGTACGAGAAGAAGGCGCATGTCAGCGCCATTCATCTTCTTCTTCTTCTTCTTCATCTTCGCCATTGCGAAGCTTTACTCAGCATTGCCCAATAGGACAACCAGCCAACTTCACCAAAATCAGCCGCCGTCAAACGGAGGTGTGACAAACTACAAAGGGCTAGAAATCGACAACAGTAAGCTACATACGAGAGCAAAAATAAAGAAGGGCGTCGATTCATCAGCTATCATATCGGTCCGCTCTTCAGATGGAGAAAGTTTAAATAGGCAGGTCATTCTAACTTAGCTGCAGCGCACTGTACGAAGCGAAATGAACGTCTGCTGTCAGAGATACCAATTAGCTACCGGGTGGAAACACTGGCTGCGTACGCGGCGCTTTTACTAACCATTTCAGGCACAATGGGCAATTGCAGGAATACGTACCATCGCAATGTTTCATTCGAAACGTGTGCGCACGTTGGCGTAATTACCCCCCCCCCCCCTCTCCCCCCTCGTTCAATACCAGCAGTGTAACGCCTCACTTAGTTTGAACCTGGATCAACTTATGAGGATAGCACTCCTGCACGGCGCTCGAAGTTCTGCTGTTTTGCGATGTCGGCGGGCGGCAGACATCGCCGCCTACGCTGTCAGACGTGGGAGCAGCCCACCCCCAGCGTCGCCCCGCCCACGGCAGGTCCAGCGAGTGCGTCGGCATGCCTGGGTGACGCTGACTTCGCCCAATCCGGCAAGTTCTTAATAGCGCTGTTCGATGAACAAAGATTTTCTGTTGGGAGAAAGGGAGTCACTAACTTGATGTACATGAAGGACCCGTGTCGATTTGCTGTCGATGTCGCGGAGGCGTTAGCGGAAGGGTCTGGGTTTTCCCCCTAATGTTGAAATTTCCCGTCGCCGCCAGACGGCATCTGCCCAGCGCTCGACCCACCCCGTTCAAACAAATACACCGCCAGCTCCTGCGGATCTCCGCCTCGTTGGTGTGTTTACATCCGGCAAATCGGCCGAGCAGCTGTGCAGCGATCCGCACCATGCAACCGCCCGCTCACTGACGCGTCCCGAGGATTCCACGGAAAGGTCAAACTCCGCACGCGGGCCGTGGGTGCGTGGGTGCAGTGCTGTGTCACCGGTCTGCGGCGTTAGAGGCGGGATGCGGCCGCCACAACGAGCCGCATCGCGCACTGACGCGTCCCGAGGATTCCAAGGAAAGGTCAAACTCCGCACATTGGCCGTAGGCGCGGAGGTGCTGTGTCGCTGGCTGACGACGTTAGAGGAGGGATGTGGCCGCCATATCGAGCGGGACAAATACGATCAGAACATCAGCACAGCGGCCACGGCAGGTTCTGACCGGCGTAGCCATCGAAGCAGGACATGACTGACATGATGGTAGAGATGAGATATGTGTTGGGTAATATATGATTATCAGATGGACGCACTTAAATCTATGACTGGCGTAAATAGCTGCAAACGTGTTGTTCCCATGCGCCGGAAGCACCCTTTCAAGACATCTAAACAAAACAGCTACAGTTCAGTGAAACCCGACAATTTTTTCGCTACTTTCAAAACGTCTTTTGATACATAGGTGTTTCGTCTTCACTCCCTCTGATGGGCAGTTCCCGTAGCAGGAACGCTACAGCTCACACGGAATGATGTATCGATGCCCACTCACCGAGAGAGGCCTGACCAATCACTCCCCGTTAGCCCTTGGGTCATGGAACAGGTCAACTCGTACAGAGGGGAGCACTAGCCACGACCCAGCAAAAGGCATAAAATTCTATTCAGTGTGGGATAAGCGAAATGTCAAAGCTCGTCTCAGAATTGTCTATGCTATGCAATGGGTAAGTGATGTGTGTCTTTTGCCAGACTGCTTCACATACTGACAGTACCTCATCAGTGGACGTGAACTGCGACATTTAAAATCAGGTCACGAGGGCTAACGCTTGTGTGCGAAGGCCTCACACAGATATTCCAATGACTATGCATGACACAACGAAACCGACGACGGTGGGTAGCGTTTGTCAATCTTTTTTGTCAACTGTTTGTCAACTTTCGATTACTTCCACGTAAGTTAAGCGAAACCAGGTCGTGAAATACATGACCTCGTGGATAATCACTTAAGGTCTCAAAAAACAGACACTTAAGGTCATGAAATATTTATAGATTATGCAAAATTGTGAAAGTGTAACAGACAAAGCAATACAGAGCCAGTGTCAAGGTCAGACACTGAAACTTTGAGCCGATCTTTCTAAAAATGCAAGCTACCACAGGTGGCCCTCAGTGGTAGCCTCCAAGCTGGCCTCAAATGATGGGCGCATACGGCCATCGAGAAAACCCACTCATGCCCACCCGATCTCCTGAAATCAAGAAGTGTCTCCGTCTCCGTGGCACTCTGTACTACCCCGTGCATCTCGGAAGACTCGGCACTCAGCTGTTGGACTCTGCACACGGCACGCGCGGCGTGCGCTGGCGGTGCTCCAGTGACCCATCACTGGATGCACACATCAGTGCAGACCTCCGTCCAGGCGAATCGGGGAGATAGCGCTTGATATAGAGCCCCGGCGGCTGCGTGCCTTGCGACAGTGGTGACGCGGCGTTCGACAGTGGCGGTCGTCCCAGACAGGTACTGCACGCTTTGGTTGATGGCTCAAGTGAGTGTCGTGTTTAGTGTCTTATACTTTCAGAAATATTCTCTATGCATCAGCATATGTTTGTGCTGTCACAATGATGACAAGGTAAAGTCAATAAGTGGCGCAGGAGGAAAAGGGGCCAGGGTCAGGGTAAAGGACGTTAGGTGGTGGAGAATGGTAAGGAAACGGAGCCGGGATGGGGACGGGACCGGACATTTTGGGGCACCTGGATACTGGATTTTCCGACGTGTTGGCTACTCTACTGTTTACACTACAAAAAAAAATCCACAACGCAGTCATGCTCCTTGGCACTGCACTTCCTTTCTAATTTTTTTCTGCGGTGGGGATATTGACGGCTTTTGACGCTTTTGTCAGGATCAACAATTAGCGGTGGGTTTGCAGCAGATGCAGATATTGGCGCGGTCTGAGGCAGGCCACGGAGCTCTCGCGTGCTCGGCTTCGGTACATAGCTCTCTTTCCCACGACTCGCTCGGCATAATGGAACACGCCGCCAGAACACTAAAAGGCTGAGGTTAGGACAACCCTGCCGCGTTTTTAGTTTAGAGTCCACAAAGGATAGCAACAATGTTAGACCATCGTGCCACGCAGGGTTTTGGATCAAACCTTGAAAAATTATGTCGCTGATAGAGTTGTTCATATTTGTTTAATATCATCCAAGCTGGCAAGGGCTACGGGTGAGTCAGAAGGCTGGTTACCATGCCACTGCCAGACGTGTAAAAAGAGCTGTAATTGTTGATGACTATCAAGCAAATTATTTTTGCTCAGCTCGTCCTTAATATCTGTGCAGGACGCCAAAAGCGTCGCAAAGGACGAGTTCTCAGTACACTAGAAAAAAGCATTCTGCCGTCGTCAGCGTAGCAAGCAAATGGAATCAACAACAAAAGGAAAGAAGGGCATGACAAATAGACAAGAGTAAGTCAACGGTTCCCAACGAACGTACCCAGAACGCAATTACTGATCTACATAAGAGGCCCTTGATCTAATGTTGTGTGTAGTCTTCTCGTATTTGTAAATTACAGACCCCTTCGGACGCCGATACAGCCTAAGACGCTGGAGCGGTCTGTGCCTGCCTGTATCATTCTCTGTTTGAGCTACTATTTCTGGAATGGAGGCCCGTTCCAAACATCCTGAGGCCAGCGATAAGCACCAGGAAACCTTTTAAGCAACGTCGGCAGCCCGATAGCCTTTATCTTACTGCAGCGTCGCTATGATAGCAGAAGGCACACATCGTGAAGCGATGTTAACGACAGAGCCCAGTTTTTGGTAACCAGCCTGGCCTGCGATAGGTCGTAAAATCGACAGCCATGCAGGATCTCAAGTCAAACACGGTCCGTACAGCTCGGCCACTGCGCGGATCACGTGGTCGCCTCGACCATCAGTCATTTGTCAGTGCGCAGCGTCTGACTGCTCGCGGGGGAGCTGAAACAGCGCAGTCCATTTGCACACCCCGTGGAAGGAAACCTTGATGCAAGGCACACCATGTGGGTGAGAACATCACTGGGTCGAGTTTAAGCCCCATGCCATGCATCGCCTACGGTCGGGACTGGCATGACTTTGAGCAGGGGTTCGTCAGCCCGCAGCCATGCGCCCGTTGGGAGGGTTCTCATTGGGTGGTCGCTCTGTGCTTTCATATGAAGGCAGCATAACAATCTAATGCACGCATACAATACAATGAAGTGTCACAATTCATTAACACGCGCCTGGGTGCAGTTCAAATTAACCCCAAAAAGTTTCTACGGAATAAGTTATGAACGGTGCAGAGCAGCAGCACAAAATTTTGCACTGTTGTAGGTCGTGGAATAGGAAATCTTTTGGTATAACACATTTTGATGTACCTTACAAGATCACTGACCTATGACAGGTCAAAATCAGGTCATGGTTGTCAGCGAAGGCAATTGCTAGGGAATCGTGCAATCTGGTGCGACAACGGAGTACTGGTCAAAACTGTACGTCTCCGGGATACTTTTTTACGCAATCAAACAATTGAATTTAGGAATACAACAAATCTAATAGACCTAGAATCAGGTATAAAGGTCAGGCCTAGGTAAAGACCAGCCTGCCTTTTTACCCGAGATTTCGCTGTACGGCATAGTTTCTGGTGCTCATTTAGTATTTATAAATAACAAGGATTGTTGATCTGCTGGTGACAACCTGCGATTAAAACGCTCCGTAAGTGGGGTCGTGTTTGTTCGCCTCGCATTCCCCAAATGTATTTGGCCAACCATCCGTCACACCTATACAGTTTGCATTCCTTTTGACCAGACTTACACACGACGTGGACAAATCAGGGTGTATTTTGACATTGAAATAATCCGAACTAGGAGATTAGCCAGATTCAACCCAGCTGTCCAGCATCAGTTAACAAGCCGCGTGGACCAGACGGTCAAGCTGCAGGTCAAGTCAGGTTACATATTTCAAATTACCCCT